TTAGCTGGGCTCTGCTGGAGGCTGGCCCCATTCACATTGCTGGGGGGGCGGGCTGGGGGTGTAAGCTGGAACAGCTTTGCTGGACAGTAATATGGCAGCATGTGTCAGAAGCCTCCACTCATGTCCGCACTGAGCTGATCTGGTAATTCCACGTCCAGGAACGTATCCTGAGGAAGTCATCAGACATGTGGACAAGGATTTGTGTTAACATGCTGACTTCCATGTTCTTTTTTATTTGGGCACAACCCCAAACAGCTAACAATAGAATGGAATGATAAGTAGCTACCAAATGGTGTTCTTTTAAAGAATGTGCCTACTCTTTACCATCAACACTTTTCATGGCCTGATGTTTTGCATGTATGACAATCGTCAAAAGCACATGAACGAGCTATGTCTGGCATTGCTGGGCTCACCCCGGTGCCAGGTGACAGAACGCTGGCTGTGGTGGTTACAATTATGTGTCAACGTGACTGGGCCATGATTCTCGGAGGGTTGGCAGTTATGTAATGATGTAATTTGGCAGTTATATAATGATGTAATTTGGCAGCTAGGTAATGATGTAATCCTTCGTTTTTTCAGTGATGAGCTGAGCTTTGCCTCAATCTGGTCTCTGGAACCCGGCCTTGTGGATCAGTGATTAGTTGGTTGTATTACAGGTTATGAGGGAAATTCTCAAAGTAAGCCGTTGGAGTCCAACTTTATGAAGAGGGTTAAAAAAATGCACTCATAAGATAAAAACACTGGAAGGAAATATACCAATACATTAACGGCGGGGTCTCTTCAAGTATTGGGATTATAAGTTAAGTTCATGGTTTTCTTCATACTTTTATATATTTTTTAAAATGTGAGAGGAGAGTAAGGGGGGGGAGGGTGTGTTACAAATAACCCTCTTATCTCTTAATAAAGTAATTCGTGAAGCATGTAAAGAATATTAATTATTGGAGATATAAAAAAACACCTCAGTGGCATTGAGACAATTCTGATTTATAGTGATCCAATAGGACAGAGTAGAACTGGCCATGAGACTGTAACTCTTTATGGGAAGAGAAAGCCTCCTCTTTCTCCCTAGGAGAGGCTGGTAGTTTTGAACTGCTGACCCTGGAGTTAGCAGCCCTATGCATACCCACTGCACTACCAGGGCTGCCATTACTGAAGATAGACACATTTTAAGGCTTCCCCGAAATACGTACAGGTCTAGCGCTCGAAATTAGGAACAACAGACAGAATCAAACGTGTCCTCATCATTCACACCTGGGATAGATGTTTTCTTGAAATACAGCAGCTGCCGGGCCCCGTGTAATGTTAGGCACCAGCCACCAACACGCATCTTGTTACCCACTCATTTTATATTTGGCTTTTCACTTCCACACAGCAGCATCTGACTCTGGAGAACATGCAGGGGGGAACTCGTTTGGTCTGTTTGGTGGATTGGGGTTCACTGACTACACTGAATCCTCCTAACAGGTTTGAGGGCTTTGAAAGGAGGTTACTCGACATAAAGAGGTGCAGCTATCCTCGCTCGGTTTTGGCTGGACCACCTCAAGTGCCAGCCCTGCATATGGGGGAGGGTGGTTTGCTTTAATTAAGCTTCCCGGCGGTGCAGTTGCAAGCAGCTGGTCACATGAAAGTCATTCTGGCTTCCCTTTCCAGCCTTACGGTTCCAGGACTTTCTTAGGGCCGGTAGTCCAGTGAACACCAGGAAGTCGCCTAACATCTAAATCGTGTGTGGAAGTATAATTTCCCTTTGTGTTCGACACACACACACAAGCTCATATCGTGCCACCGTCCCACTGACATCCGCACATATAGGGGGATGTAACTCACTACTCACTGCTTTTGAATCGATGTCAGCTCATAGCATCCCTAGAGAAGAGGGGAGAACCGCTCCTGTGGGGTTCTGAGACTGTAAATCCTTACGGGAGTGGAAAGCCTCCTCTTTCTCCTGACAGGTGGTTTCACACTGCTGACCTTGAAGTTAGCCACCCGACACAGAAGCACTACGCCACCGGGGCTCCCTAATTAGGGGGATATTCTACTTTGTCCTACAGGGTCCCTCTGAGTCAGAATCTCCTTAATGACAGTGAGTTTGTGAGTTTAATATAGTTGGGGCGGGGAATATAGCTAGATATCAAACTCACAAACTCATTGCCTTCAGTTGATTGTGAATCAGAGTGACCCTGTAGGACAAAGTGGAATGCACATGTGGATTTCCAGGGCTGTCAATCTTTAGGGAAACATAAACCCTCATCTCTCTGCCACAGAGCGGCCTGATGGTTACAAACTGCTGACCTTGTTACCAGCCCAGTGCAGAAAGCACCAACCATCGGGGCTCCTTACAGCTGTTATTTACAGACAGCTATATGCAGAGGCCACATGTGAAATCAAGCTACCAATGTCAGTGCAGATAGATGAGAGCAGATACTTGGAGTGGCCAGAGATTAAAAAGGGTTAGAGTTAAGGAGAACTGAGATGAGCTTTCCTTGGGTGAAACCCAACCCACTACCCTTGAGTCGATTCCCATGACTCACAAGAGCTCTCCAGCACAGAGCAGAACTGCCCCCCTAGGGTTTCCAAGGCGGGGGTTGGGGAGGTGTCTTTATGGAGGCAGACCGCCTCGTCTTTGTTGTTCTTGTCAGCACTGCCAGATATTCCATTCTGCATTGCCCACCTCCATGACCACCAGCCGCCTTATGGCTGCCCATTGCTTGAAATGCAGCAAGTGTGACTGTGAATTCTAATTACGCTTAGTGTTCCTGTAAGGAGACACAGGTGACACACGACTACCAGATTGCATAGATAGAACAGCTTGAACAAGACTGCACTGCCCTTCCAAGGAGCCTGACAATGCAGGGCTTCAGCCTTTGGCTGTTAATCTCAAGGTGGGCGGTTTGAACCCGCCAGCCAGTCTCGGGCAGGAAGCTGTAGTCTGCTTCCACGAAGGAGACAGTAGCCTTAGAAGTCTCGGGGGAGGTGATGAGCCAGTCAGGGTGCGGTGTAACAACGATGAGAAATACAACTTTCCTCTAGTTCCTAAATGTTTCCTCCCCGCTCCCACTACCATGACTCGAATTCGACCTTGCAAGTCTGGCTAGACCAGAGGATGTACACTGGTACAGATAGGAACTGAAAATACAGAGAATCCAGGGCAGATGAGCCCGACAGGACCGGTGGTGTGAGTGGCGAAACAGGGAGGATAAAGGGAGAATGTGTAGGAAATAGGAAAGAGGGAACCGATTACAAAGAACTATATGTGACCTCCTCCCTGGGGGACGGACAACAGAAAAGTGGGTGAAGGGAGACGTCGGACAGGGCAAGATATGACAAAAATAACAATTTATAAACTATCAAGGGCTCATGAGGAAAGGGGGAGCGGGTAGGAAGGGGAAAATTGAGGACCTAATGTCGGGGGTTTAAGTGGAGAGAAAATGTTTTGAGAATGATGTACAAATGTGCTTTACACAATTGATGTGTGTGTGGATTGCAATAACAGTTGTATGAGCCCCTAATAAAATTTTAAAAAAAATAAAATTAAAATTAAAAAAAAAAAAAGAAAGAAAGCCTGTGGGGCAGTTCTACTTTGTTCTGTAGAGACGCTCTGGGTGGGAATGGACTCAACAATTACGGGCGCCATAGGCCCTTCCCTCGGGGCAGAACTGAAGTCCTCCCTTCATGTTGCGCATATTGTCTTTCTAACACGGATCCTCAGCCAGGGCCTCAGAGCTTCCAAACGTGTAATGGTGGAAGGGTGCCTGTGGCTGTAGCCCCTCCTAATGGCACAGCCAACACAGTGTCTCGGGCCTCCAGTAGCCACGCCCAATTGTGTGACCTGGGTTGGAGCAGGTGATTTGCTCAGTTCCATCTGTAACTCCCCGCTGGGAGCGTTAAGACCCTCGTTTCCCAGCCAAAAGACAGAGCCAAAATCCCATTTCAACCCTGGATTTCTAACATGCTGAACCTGGTTTCTTGTTGCCGTTTTATTTTTAACTAAGGAAATCATTTCTAATCTTTTCTCCTGTGGTTTAAGGGTTTAAAAGTTCAGCATGGTGAGTTTTTATGGGGCTTTTATGGGCAGCAAAGTGTTGTAAACATACCCAAATTATCATAGTAGTGTAGTTTACCAAATCCTTTTCCTATGCAAACCAACCTGACTTCCCTTCAGAATACGAAACAGATGGGCCCAATTAGAAGTCTCGCTATTCCAGACACTGTGTTCAGGGTTTGCTTCGCTTTCGAAGCCCTGTGCGGTTGGGGTAACTTGCGAGGAAGCAGTGGTCTGCAAGAAGGCTGAGGGGCCTGGTGGACACAGAGACCGTGTGTCTCTTATCCTTGGCCCCACTCCCATCAGCGTGTATTTGGAAACTCCTGGAGACTTGGGGCATCTTGGTTGGATGAGTTACTGCTCTTAGAATAGAAAAGGTGGCCTAAAGGGGTGATCTGGGGAAAGGCCACACTTCAGTGACAAGCCATCGATCCAGGAGAAGGTGTTCGACCTCTCAGCTTCGGTCTGCCACATCTAGCAGCTGGGAAGCAGAAGGCGCACAGCAGTCTCTGGGTGGTGCAGTCATATATCTGTCTGATCACTGAAAGGTTGGAGATTGGAGCCAACCCAGAAGCCCTTTCTTTCATCTAGGAAGAAAGGGTGGACGATCGACCTCCCCAAAAATCATTCATAAAAAGCCGCTACGGAGCAGAGTCCTACTCTGATCTACCCAGTTCTGCTGATACCCTGACGTCATCTTCCTCCTGTGGAGTGGCTGGAGGGTTCGAACCAGCCACCTATAGGTTGGTAGCCTAGAGCGTAATCACTTCGCCACCAGGGGCCCTTGAAACCAGTAGAGACTGGTTCACTTTCAGTGCTCAGTAGTCCAAATGCTCTTGCGCTGTGGCTTTGGTGTTTATATTGCCTCTCATGTTACAGTTCAAGGAGACGTCTCACCCTGCGTGGGGTCGTGATGGGCCTGCCCCCTTACCGGCGTTCTCTTCTCTTCCTGAAATTGTAGGCACAGAAAAATGAGCGAGAATCCATCAGACAGAAGTTGGCCCTTGGAAGCTTCTTTGACGATGGCCCAGGAATTTACACGAGCTGCAGCAAGAGTGGGAAGCCAAGCCTTTCGTCTCGGTGAGTGAATGTTTTTTGAGCGGATCTTCTGATGTGGACCTAATGGGCTTTGCCATTTGACTACATAACTAATCAATGATACCCCTTAAATCTTTGGGTGGCCACCCCCTTTTTAAATTTTTTTTGAGTAATGCTGCCATTTTCTGTGGGTTCTAGATAGCTCCCTCCTTAACAATTTTTTTTGGAAGGGGTGGGGTGGTAAGGGGCCGGTGTCATTTGCCCAGCCACCTGAGGTCAGATTGCTCTATTTCATTTTTTTCTAGATACAGTAATGATTTTGCCATGTGCTCTGGGAATTAAGCCGTATTCTTAGCAAGCTGGCTGGCTGGTGCTTAGAGAAGCGTGGCAGGCCACCAGCTCTCCCATTAAGCGGTCCCCAAGCCTCCAGCATCACCCTCCTGACACATTTGATTGCAATACATACTGGTCACTGAGAACTCCAGTTCCCGCTTGGATCTTTCGATGTTTATCACAGTTCTTAACCTGTCTTCCAGGTGGTTTTTCTCTGTCTCCATTTATTTCAGGGTATCGTTCATCCGGTACATAGCTTCTGATTCCAATACTTTGAGAGGATCATTTACTGAGAAAGTAGGGCAGTGGACCAGAGCTTTTCAAGCTTGCTAGTGCATCCGAGTCACCCGAGGATTGTGTTGTGACGCAGGTGGAGATCCTGTGGTCCAGGCTGAGGCTTTGAGAGTCTCCATTCTAAAACACTCCCAGCCTATACTCTCGCTACTGTTCCCTAGGCCGGACCTTGGGTGGCAAGATGACCTGCAGAATTGTTAGAAACAGAAGCATTCCCAGTAATCAAAGCATGGGAGGCATTGTTTGAATAAAGATGATGGCAGCCGAAGTCACGGCAGCCGTCTCGTGATTCCTCTCCAGATGTCTGCTAGCTCTCTGCCTGCCTGCATGCCTTTGAGTCCAGTACAAACACGTTCTGTTTAAATGCGAGGTTTTTGTTTTTCATCACCTTAAACCAGGTGTGAGAGACAAGCGATAGCATTCATGCGTCTGTCCAGGCCACAGATACCCATCTTGTCCCTCCTTTGTCCTGACCCAGGCATTTTCATATCTGTTTAAAACTATTCTGTCTGGCTTTCAGGATGCTATGTAGTTCAGTCTGATCCTTAGAGAATCAAACCAGTCGCCATGGCTACCCCGCTGCTCCTGACCCCGTGTGCGTCCGCCTAGAACTGTGCTCCGCCCGCTTTTTGGTCCTGGAATAGCTGACGTAGATGCCAGGCCTTTCTTCCAAGGAGCTTTTGGGTAGACTTGAACCACTTAGCCAAGAAGCTATGAACTGTTTGCACTACCCAGGAATGTCCTGCATTTTAGAGATCTGTCTGTAAATCAGCCAAGCTCAGGGAGCAGACACATGCTCACACATACGCAGATGTACAAGACTCTGCAGTTTGATTCATCCATCAAGACAGAAGTTCAATTGGGCCAGGCTTCTACTATTCCTTCTCTGCTTCCGCATGCTGGTCCAGAGCTAGAACAGCACCCTTTTTCCACTTCCATTTTTCACCTCTCCGGTGTCAGAAAGGGGCCGCAGGATTAGACCTGTTGTGGTTGTTTTTAGATTGTAACTCATAGCAGCCCTGTTTACAGCAGAAACAAACACCACACTGTCCTCACCATTATTATGTGGAGCCCCTTGTTGGAGTGACCGTGTCAGCCCACCTCGTCCAAGGTCTTCCTCTTTTCCCGCTGACCTTCTCCTTTGCCCAGCAGCTTGTCCTTTTCCAGGGCCCGATTTATCCTGACAGCGTGGCCAAGTGTCACCGTCATCGAGGCATAGGAGCGTTCTGACTGTCATTCCACCACAGAGATGTGTTTGTTCTTTGGGGAGTCTCAATATTCCTCTCTCACCAATGACATCTTTCAAAGATATCCATTGGTCTTTGGTCTTCCTTGTTCCTTGTCCAGCTTCAAGTGCGTCTGAGGAGACGAGAATACTGTGCTGGGTATCCGGCACACCAGAGTCATCCAAGGACCACATTTGCTCTTTTAAACTTTCAAAGATCTTGAGCTGTGATGGTTACGTGTTGGGCTGCAAGCCGCATGCCAGCAGTGTGAAAGCACCGGCCGCCCCTCAGGAGGAAGGCGGGGCTTTCTGAGCCATCAGCAGTTAGTCTTGGAAGCCCACGGGGCCTCTCTGGGAGTCAGCACTGACAGTGAGCGCGCAGCAGGTCCGCCAGTGCAGCATCATCTGATTTCCTGACTGCTGCTTCCAGTAGAGTGATGGTGGGTCCAATCAAGATACACATCCTTGACAACTTCAATCCTTTCTGCATTTATCAAGAGAATTAGTCCTTGTCTGCTTCTAATGTTGACACCAATTGACTTTCATGTTCTAACCCCATCGTTAGAACAAAAGGGGATTCGCCCCTACAGTCTTGTAGATCTCTCCTGCTGTTCTCCAGCACTCCCTAACGCACCCAAAAGCATCTCCTAGAAGTGCTGCCTATGCCTGACGAGCTCATAGCCGTCTGGGACAAGTGAAAGTTTTAGATTCGTAATCAAAATGTGACATACAACGGACTTCCATTTTCATTCTGTTTTTCCACAAACTTTTTGAAACCCTCTCTAGTGTCTAAAGTTTTGAAAGTCAAATTGAATTAATAATACCTAACGGAAAAAGCCAACCCCACTGCTGTGTTAGCTCTGACTCAAACAACCCGGTTGAACAGGGCTTCCGAGGTGGTACTTCTTTGTGGGCGCAGACGGACACAGCTTTTAGGGGAGCAACTGGTGGGTTTGAATCAACGCCCTTTCACTTAGCAGCTGGACGCCTTCACGGCTACCATCGCACCAGGGCTGCTGACCGGCTGATCATAAAAGCCCACAAGTACAGCAGTGTCCCCTGTCCTTGCCCCGCTCTCCAGCAGCAAGAACTTTTTCACTCCTTGACTCATTCTTCCGGTATTTATCGACATGTCTCTAAATAAAATGCTGGTTTTCATTTTAAAAAAGAAAGACAACTATCTATCGATGACCCGTTCTGATGGAAAGTTAGCTCTCTCCTAAGATTTTTTTTCAGATGCATAACTCTCCCATTCTTCCTAAATAGTTATTTCACCATTTGTGGTCAAATGATTGGCTATTCAGTGAATAAAACCGTATGTTACTCACGGCTGAGCCGTGTGGAAACTTTGAGGACGTGAACATTTTTCTCTCTATCTTTGACATTTCCCGCTCCGGCTCCCTGGTTTCGATCGCGGTATGAGCCTGCTGTGTCCTGGGATCCCAGTTTTCCTTCAGCAGTTCTTCGAATGGTGGCCGTGGAGTTGTTCCCAGATTTTTGCTCCTGTGAACAATGTGCTGTAAACACTCATGTTCATGTCTCCTGCTGTGTACGTGAAAGTGTTTCAGTTCATGTAGACTTTGGAGTGGAATTACTAGGGAAATACATGAATGTTTACACTTAACAGACAATTCAAAAGTATTTTCCAAAATGGTTGCATTAAGTTAAATACTCACCAGCCATTTATAATCGAT